CATACCGACTTATAGTTTCAGTTTTCTGACAAGGTACTTCTGTTATTAAACCACACAGTATTTTTCTAGAATAGTTCCTATTTTATTAAAGTGGAGTTATAACATGCTAGACTATCAGGGGAATTTAACTATTATTTCATTTGGTGATCTGCACACTGAGGCCCATGTGCCAACCAGCTGTTTCAGCAGAGTTTTATCAGAACCCATATGCCTTTCACTTCAGCCTCGTCTGTGACAGCTTTCCTCCAGGGTGACAGAGCTGGGTGGCTGCAGCAGACACCATAGAGCCCACTAGTTTAAAACACTATTTGGCCCTTCAAGAAAAGAATTTCCAAGCTCTGATCTAATCTATCTCTCACATTTTATACAAGACAAAACACAAAATATTTAACATTTTTGTTACTTTTTGGGACAGTACCAGGGGAATAGAGTATCATATTATCAAATCTTAAAACCTCCCAAATATGTTCTGGTTTGCTTTACATTAATAGATATGTAAGGAAATTGCCTTATATCTCTTTGTATTAAAATGAGATTGAACTAGTATGTCTGATGGAAAAGAACATTGATTCTCTGGTCTCTCTCAAAGACCTGAATATAAAAGGCTCGTGGAATGTACAGATAGTATTTAATGAATTTAAACATTTTATGCAAAACTGAGTTATGATCAGAAAAGAGGAAGAATTTTAAAACAAACTAGTCACATGCAATGAGGAAACATTTCTCCCTCTTTATGGTAAAAAAAAAATGCAGTAAGGAGGCATGAAATAAATCAACCACATAACTCTTCTTGTAATCCATCTCCTTTTTCTTCAGTTGAGTAATGACAAAAAAAGAAGAACCAGATATCTGAAGAGCAAGTGGAATCTTCCTCAGCTAAATGGTCAGCTAACAACTTTATCACCAGTTGACAAAGGCCATGCTTTAAGGAAGCCCATAGAAACATTTGATCCAACGTGCCCTAAAGCCAAGAATTATAGGGAGAAGTTCTTATTTTAAGGTCACTTGGAAAGGACTTCTAATGCCAAGTAAAATTGTGGTAAAATTCTCCTATAGAGTTCATTCATGGTACCCAGTGGAGTTGTGCAGTGCACAGCAGGTGTGAGTGTATGTGACACTGCTGTTTCTGAGGTACCGGTACTCATGTTTTTAATGCCAAAGCAAGTTTTGTGACAGAAAAATATAAAATTATAACATTAGAGTAATTCATTATGTAAAAGTACTTTTTATCACTAAATATTTGGGGTTCTTAATCATGTGTTTTCATTCAGTGAAATTCAGATGCTGTAAAACTACCACCTCATTTTTCAATGTGGTCACCCCGACTCTATCCAGCACAGAACCTTCTCTTGCATAATACAAAATGTATTTCTAAGTATACAACATTTAAAATAAAGGCAGGTAACATCCTTAATTTTTACCATCCTAGTCTTTTTCTTTTTAGAATAACATCATTGATGTATCATTTACAGACAATGAGATGCATCCATTTCAAGTATGCAGCTTGCTGAGTTTTGATAAACATGTACACCTTCATAACCACCAGCACAATCGAGTGTTGGAACACTTGTATCACCTCAGAAATCTCTCCTCTCTTTGCAGTTACCTCCCCACATACACGTACGATTACTGCTCTATTTTCAGTAATCACAGATTATTTCTGCCTGTTCTAGAAATTCTTGTGAGTGAAATAATACTGTACACACATTTTTAACCTGCATTCTTTCACTCAATGTAATGCTTTTTGAGATTCTTTTCTGTTTTTGCAAGTATAAGTATTTCATTTTTTAATTGCTGGTGTCATTCTATTGTATGGACATACCATATTTGTTTACCCATACACCTACTGATGGATATTTGATTGTTTTTAATTTATAGATATTAGGACTAATGCCTTTATGAACTTTCAGGTAAAGTCTTTTTGAAGATATGTGCTTTCATGTTTTTTTGGTAAATAACAAAGAGTGGGATTTCAGTGTTAAGTATTCATCTGAAGTTTTATCCTACATTTTTCTGCCAGAGAACTATGTTCTCTATACTTAGTATTTCCCACATCTATGTTCTAATTTGTATCAATGCCTATTTAAACAAAATAGGGTTAAATATGCATATACCAATATATGTATAAAATTCATTAAAAGTGAGAAAGTATTTGCAAACTATTTCCTCTTTTCTAGTGAAAATTATTCACCAAAATAGCACTGCTAAAAACCTCAGAACAAAGCTCAAAGCTAGGAAACACTGATTATGTGAGTTCTTCTTTTGCATGAACTCCTCTTTATTTGAGAAGAGTCACAGAACAAAACTGGAGCTCGGGGTTATGTGGGACCTTAATAGAAAAGGTCTGCCCCAGCGTGAGAGAAATGAAACTCTCCGAGCGTCCTAGAGTCGTGGTGACACATTTTTCATGACCTATGTGGTGTGAAACCTTACTTGTTACAATTCTTGTCAGGAAGAGGAAAGAATGTAACCAAAAGATCTGTGAGAAGATAACATAAAATTTCTACTCTCAAGATGACATGAGTTTAAAGGTCTCATGCCCTAAAAGATAGCTTAGTTGAACAGTAGTGCTTCTTAAAAACCACAGAGATCCCTAAAACATGAAACACACATTATGAGTCAAAGTAAAATAATGTACTCAGAAGTAAACAACAAATGAGAACTTAGGCATCAAGGCTGTCAGAAATCAACACGGGAGATTTTTACCCTATATGCAAGCTCACAAGTTCCTCTGCCACAGTCCCCTGGCTTCTGGCAGAAAACACAATAGTCCTGGTAAATTGGTGTTCAGAGATCCAATTTCCAAAGGGGAAAGGGGTCCCCCACACCTCCAACAAACAATTCTCAGACACCATCAGGGCATCCAAGAATTCAACTCATTTCTGACACTATGTACTCAGAGATATCTTCAGATTTCACAGATTAAGCATTCAGTTCTGCAGGACTGTTTCCCCACCCTTGCACTTCAGCTGCTAGTTGAAAGCCCAGGCTGTTATCTATGCTTTTGACCAACTGACGATACATCAAAGGTTTGCACCACCTCCTCCTCAGGTTCGATTACTTTGCTAGAGTGGCTTACAGAGCTCAGAGAAACATTTTACTTACTAGATCACTGGTTTCTTATAAACACATATAACTCAGGAATAGCCAGATGCAAGAGATGTACAGGGCAAGGAATGGGGAAAGGGCTTATAGCTTCCATGCCCTCTCCTAGCTAGCTGTCTGATGTCTCCAAATGCCCAAATGTTCACCAATCCTGAAGCTCTCTCAACCCCATTTGGGGCGGAGGTGGTTTATGGAGGCTTTACTTACTAGATTTGCATGATTGATTAAATCATTGGCCACTGGTGATTAATTCCAACTGTGCACTCAGGAACAAGGGAACTGATTCCAGTGGCTCACAGCGAGCTGGACTTCGGTTAGGATTCTATTTATCACCTGACACAGGTTCCCACTCTGAAGGCTTACTGCTATGGTGTCCTTTTAAGCTTTGGACATCAAAGTCAACGTGGACCCTGTGTTCTGTAGGGGTATACCTCATTTTATTGCACTTTGTTTTGTTACTGTTCACAAATGTTGCATTTATTTTATTTTATTTTATTTTTTTACAAATTAAAGGCAAGATACTCCATTAGCAAAAAGATTACAACATGGCTTATTGCAACACTTGCTTTACTGGTAGTCTGGAACCAAAGCCACACTATCTCAGAGGTATGCCTATAACTGTTGCCAAAGTAGACATGCACACAAGTGAATGGCCACAGGCCCCTTTGAGGAAGGACTGGGGTTATCATGTGGTTTAATCTCCCACGGTCTTGCAGGGCCCTTCTTCCCAGAGACCCAGCCATCACTGGCTCAGGTACGGAAAAGCGAAGGAGCCTAATATTTAACTGGGGAGACCACCTTCACCATAATGCTCCACTGTTCTTGATTTTGAGTTATTTGGTTTTGATTTTTAGTTGCAAATGTTAAGCAACACCCTGTACATTCACAGATGAGAATTTGGGCAAAGATTCCAAATGACTCCTATGCAGATTTCTGGGACTCTTTCAGTACATTATTCTCTCCTGGCTCATAATTTATCCTGCAAATTGAAGTCACCTCTGTGTCCTCTGCCTCTAATCTTTGTCTCTTCAGTTTCACAAGGCCACTGTGCTTGGTCTGAGACCAAGAAGGAACGCTGAAACAGGAAGTTGACCTCACGTGTCTCCCTTCTGACAGCGACCGCAGATCTGCACGCCCTGATGTCCGATGTCTGAAAACAGATGTGTTATGTGTTTTGCTCAGTTTTCTAAGTTGTTTATGATGAGAAGTTATGTACAAACCCAACTATTTTATGGCAGAAGAGGAAAACCCTGCCTTTAAATACCAATATGTATTTTTATCACAGTAATAAATTGATTTTTAAAATTTAATGATCTGTTTTAAAAGCTAAATTTATCTAATCAGTTTCTGACAAGAACAGTATAACATATGTATTTTTAAATATTTTATGGTAAACATCTACCATGACTCATTTCCTCTACCTTCCCTGGCTCCTCAGCCGATTCATAAGTATATAAATAGACTACATTCACAGATTTAATGGGGCTTCAAATACCTGGAATTGATTGTAATGTCTCTCCCCAAGTCTTTTCCTTTTGACAATATTTTATTTAGTCAACTCTATTCCAGGCACAGTACTTGGAACTACACATTATCACTATAAGATTGAGTGATCTTCCTAGTGAACTCCATCCCCAAATGCTCCTTTTACCCTGTCAGGCAAAGCCCCCCTCCAACCTCACACATGTCAGTTAACAGACTACAGGTGTTTGTCTTCATTCTAATTGGTTACCTTGAGCATAATTCTAGCTCTTCACCCCCAAAAGAATTAGTCTTCCCCTTAAGCAGCAGTACATTTTGCTGAAATTCTGATATTTTGAAAGTCTACTCTCATTCTTTCTTTCAATTTCTCTTTTCTGCATTTGAGACCAACTTCCCACCTTCTCTGTCCTTAGAAGAGACAATGAAGAACAGGCTGCATGTAACTACTGGCTCTATCACTTTCTCTTCGTGTGATCTTGGGTAAGTCATGTAACATTTCTGAGTCTCTGTACTTCTCCGAAAACTGCTGTTATTAGTACCTACCTCAAAAGATTGTTGTGAGGATTGAGCTTATATAAGGAAAACACTTAGAATAGTACCAGGCATACAGTAAGCACTTGATAAGTATCAGTCACTACTACTATTTCTCAGAATCATCAACACCTGACTTCCAATTAGCTGATCACCCTATGAATTCTAAGCTGCTATATATGCTGTGCCTGAGTCATGAGTTTAGATGCCTTCAGTTCCAAGAATTTTGGAAACAAATTTCAGACCTCACCCAGGCTCCAGTTGCCCTCTTCAATTTGAGTGTCTGCTGCCAGGTCAATGTACTCTGTCCCTGGGCCCTTCATTTTCAACTTGCTCTGTCCAGGTTGTGAGCCATGTGTCTCCGAGACACTGGACCACTTCCGTCCTAACCTATAGCAATAACAATCACAAGGCCACCACAAAGACAGCCTTTGGCTCCAGAAGCGGCAGCTAAGTCCCCAAAGTGTCAGCTATGACTGTATGCATTTAAAAAAAACTGATGAGAACAGAGAATAAGAGGTGACAGGCAAGACAAGCAAAGACTTGTGTGTTCAGCCCTAAAAGGAAAAAGAAATAAGCAAAGAATTCATCTTGGTCAGAGCATGTTCTGAAAGAATGTTGTTCAGGCTGCAGTAGATGTTTCCATAAACTAAACTGTAATTACACAATCTGTGACTTAGAGAAGAGACTCATTTGAGAATCGGGGACTTAGGGCAAGACTATAGCTAAAATTTAAAGTCTGTATACACAAATAAGTAAAATAAATCAGTCTTATTTTAATCACAAAACAGATATTTATATCCCAACTAGAAAGCGCTGACTTCTGCCTCAGGTAGAGGAATTATAAGTCAGTAATACATCTTATAAATCAAGTGTATGAAACCATTCACCATTTCCTGAGATTACAAATCAGTCATGTTCTCAAAGCAGTTGCCTACTTGGAAACAACTCCTTGGATGAATAAACCCGTCACTTCCAGATACAAGAATAAGCGATATGACCCATGTAACACATGACTGCATGTTCATGCCTCATCAAAGAATTTTACTTATAATTTAAAATTTAAAAAACACTTATTGTGAAGAAGTGCTGAATTCACATAGCACTGTAAGATGATATGAGGAAGAAATGCAAAATCTTACCTGTGCCAAATAGTGTTTTTCACCAAATAGTATTTTTCTCCAAGTAGTAAATCGGTATGTTTGCCAGAGTTTGCTGGTACTTTTGCTTGTAGTAACACCTCATTGTCATGTGGAAGATGTCAGCAAGTACAAGTAACTCACCAGATTCCTATCTTTTAAACAGGGTCTTTTGAGCTATGTGGATATAAATGTATCAACTATTGGAAAACTTTTATTTGGCATTATTGGAAAAATGTTTATTTTTTTGAGAATGATTTTGAAAACAGTAAGGAAATACTAATTGTAATTCAAATAAAATAAACATTAATCAGGATAATTATAAACTACATGTTAATATTCCATTGGCACAGGTAAACTTTACTATTTAGTACATATCATCATGTTTTATGTTTGCATAGCATTTTATACATTTATTATTTTCACTATAATTATTATACTAGTTATGACCATTTAACAGATGAGGAAGATTATCTGTGATGTTTAAAATCTAAAGCCACATGTCCCTCCCCACTAGAATTCAGGATTTCTGTCTTCTATTTCAGCATTCTTTCTGTTGCACCATGCCAGGTTTCCATGCATTTTCCTTCCATTAGAAGGAAGTGCATGGATAATTTCTAACCTTTCCATAAATACATAAAATTACTAGTTTAGGCTGCTTTCTACATGCTCAGAGAAGTCACCCACATTATGAAGCACTTACCAATTGCTGGTTTTTAATTATAAAATATGTATTTGTGCATCATTACACAGTTGACATGAGCTGAAGCCTGGATTTCATGTTTGTGATAACACATGTCTCTTTTCCATATAGATTCCCCATACACCATTACAAGTTTAACGACTTTTTGTCATTGGACTAAGACGACTGTTGAATGGTGGAATTTCATATGTCTTCTAACTGTAACTCGCCTGACTGCATAATCACAAACTACTCATAATTTAAGTCTAGGCAAATATCCACACATAATATCTGATAATCAGGCACTACTCAAGAAATGGCAGGCCTCTCACTGAGCTTATTCTTATGACTAAATGTGGGTAAAGGTTCAAATACTTCAGTCTCTTATTATCAGACAGGTAGCTTGTGTAAAAGCAACTCAGAGTCTAGCTTGGGAAACCAATGTTCTACCTTCATAAATAGTACAATATTCAGTCTACACCATTAACAACACTGATTCAAAGTCATTTTTACTTATTGACTTGAGTATTAGTTTGACTTTAACTTTAAATGTCAGTTTTACTTTCAGATTTTTTCATTAGTACTGATGTCTTAATTAGCTTACAGACTGGTTTGACAACTTTTCTTCTTGGGAAGGAGAAAGTGAAAATTGTACTACAGAATTCACAACATCAATTTTAAAGCATGGCATTTAGAGTTACACTGTTTTTGAGTTGTGGTTCAGAAATTTGCTAAAGAATGATAATAACACATCCATCACATCTGTGGAGGGATTTATATCAAACAGTCATTAAATCTTGTTTGGTTAGCATAATTATATGGGATTCAGCATTATTTCAGTTTATCAACAAAGTGAGTCACTTGGGAACCATACGAACAATGTGATCTAAGGGAAGATTATAGTAAGAAAGACAACTTAGTTCTGTTTCAGGTTGGGTGGTGTTTTCATGATCTCTCTTCTGGCCTCAGTTTCTCTGTCTTTAACTTGAAGATTAGATTTTCTCCTTCGTGGTTCCAGAGAATATGATAAGTAAACATTCATATAATGGGTATGCTCTGAGTTTTCAGTTAAGAGACACTGAGAAAGTCTAAAAGTGTGTGATTGAGTCACGACAGGGTTCAGGATTTCAAGATTTCATTTCATGTACAGATCTGGGGGAAATGCCATTCATTTGAAAATTGCCTCATGTACAGGTTTACATTCCTCTTTTAATCCCCATTGTTTTTTCCTTGGTAGGGAAATCATAAGCCTGGTCTCTTTCTTTGTTATACTGATACAGCAAATGCAGTTTCCAACATGGTGATCACTACGGAACCTCTCTGAAATTCTTTATTTTGTTAAACTTTTTGTTTTTATTGTTGCTCAAGTACAGTTATCCCTATTTTCTCTCCACCACTTCCCCTGACTCCAGAGGTTCTTAGCTTTGATGAAGTTCTTGGAGAACTTCTATGCTAAGCTGAAACATGCGATGTACTAAGCATGTAACATACTCAACAAGTACCAGTTAATTCACCAATTTAATTTAATGTTAGGTTGAAGCCTTTTTAAACAATAATATTAATAGGTAAATTAATATTAATAAAGTTCCATTTAGGTAAAATGTCCTCTTTCTAGTTTGCTTTATGATATTTAGGCATTCCAGCATCTATGGCAGGATTGTATTTCTTAGGTCTCTGTCTTCTCCACCACCCCCTGAGAAGCAGACTATAAAATAATCCTCCTTTACCACTCCATCTGTACATCCCTTCCTGTCCATCTGGATGTCAGATGGAAGCAAAGAGATCCATGGCACTTTGAAATAACTGAGGTGGCCTGGGTAGCATTTCATAGTGCAATTTACAAAGCCAGTTCTAATATCCACATTTCTGTTTGAACTATTAGTAAGTGACTAATGGAGGCCACATTTTCCTCCACAGTCACTCTATTACCACATATTTTAATTCATTTTTTCTTGAAGTCCTTTGAGATAGGTAGAATAAAATTAAAATGTAAACAATGCTCTTTATCCTCCAGCAAAGTATATTACTGAATCGTCTTCTTTAAGCCCTTGACCTTTTCCCAAGAAAACCATTTCCTTTACCTATACTGAGTCAGCTTATACTTTCACATGAAATTTGTTATTCTTGGAATGCCTACTCAACACAGGAGGAAAAGGAAAATGGAGAAATAGGGGGAGAAAAAAATCAAGAAGGGCAGCATAGCTTCAAGAAAATCTTTAGAAATATAAGAAAAATAAATTTATCAGGCCTAAAAATTTGAATTTTTCAGATATCTTTCCAAAATAATATTAATGCCTTAAGAAAAGTCTGACAGAATCCCTGGACAGATACTTTGGTAGTGAGCAGCACTGTTCTTGTTCTCCTTGCCCCAAGTTCATTACAGTATTGCACTTCCTAACTGTCTGTGGTTGTCTGGAGCTATGTAACAGTTCTTGCGAAGGAAGTGTGACCAAAAGTGAAGAGAATCACTTCCAGGCTACAGCGAGCAGCTTCAGAGTATTCTTTTCCCTCTGGCACTACAGGCAAGATTCAAGTTGTTGACTGACCAGCTAGCCTGCATACCTGAATACCTATGATGAGTACCTGGTAAAGTCCAACTGTCAAGTAGCATGATCAAGAAATAAACTTGTATTATTCTAAGGCACTGAGATATGAGGTTGTACCTGATGATAGTGTGACTTATCCTATTCTGCCTACTCCAGAACTCAACTTTGTTAAGAAGAATTAAAGAATAGTCCTCAGCAAGCACTTTTCAATGTTTCAAGGAAGTTTTAACCTGTTTTCAGTCTAGTTTTTAGACCTTGATTTGATGTTAAATAGTGATGGCTTAGACCCATACAGTAATGCTCATTAGATTCGTAGGGACAAAAAAATTATTTTCATATAGTAATTTGTTATGCTTTAGTATTCAATATATCTATTTAGTCATTCCATTCATATGCAAAATAAGTCCATTTCAACGTGGAAAATGTCTACCCCTTAATAATAGAATGGGTTCACCTGTCCTCAGGGGGCTGGTTGGTACCCCTACGATATGCTAATATATCAGAAACTCACCATTTTCCCTTTTAATGCCGTGTTTAGCACACTACAATGTAAGTAATCCAATAAAAACTTTAGTGGAAAGA